GAAGTAATTGCTTGACTGCTAGCCAGAAGGTTGACGGTTCAAACACCACCACCACCACCATCCCAGATACACACACCCAGAGGCGCCTTGGAAGACAGGCCTGGTGATCTACTTCTGAAAGGTCACAGCCCGGAAGCCCGATGGAGCACCTCTGCTCTGCACGCAGGGGCTGGCTACAGTCGGAACCGACTGGACCGAGAAGAAGAACTGCCGTGCCGCGCAGTCCCTGGCTTTGAATTTCGTGTTCCCTGTCTAAATGAGGAGCGCCCCAAAGGGGTGGGTTCCATCAAGACTGCTTCCCACTGAAGTTCCGATGGAAGACTGAGGCTGAGCGGGAGAAGGAGGAGGTAGGAAGGAGTGCCTCACTGCAGAGTCCTGGAGGTCAGCGCTGGCCCCAGCCTGCCCAGGGGCTTTACCCAGACCTGGCAGAGGTGGCCCTGCCCTGTCACGTCTGCCTCCGCAGCCCACTCGCCTACCAGGGTGTTTGAACAGTGATTAAGCAGCAGCCAGCAGGCCGCTGCAGGCCGAGGTGGGCACGGCCGGTGAGCTCACCCTTGCACAACTGCTGCCGGGCCCGCCCGCCCGGCTCTGGAGCAGGCCCAGTGGCGCAGGGCCAGGCAGGCTCCCCAAACTGGCGCAATGGCACTGGAGACAGAAGCACAACCGCCTCCCATGACCCTAGCCCAGGAAGCCTCCTCTAGGGGCTGCTGTGCCCCCAGACGCAGACTTCAGGCCGTCTCGCCAGGCCTCCAGCTTTGGTGGGATCCGCCTGGCTGGAAAGGCTCTTCACCTCAGCCTGCCCGTGCACTCCAGCCACAGAACATGGGCCCCAGGACGAACTGGAGGAGGCAGGCCCTCACCCTGAACCCATGGGCCCCTGCTTCAGACCCAGGGCAGCCCAGGGGCCACACAGCTCCTCTCCACCTCCCCTCCCTCCCCCAAGTCCTCTGAGTCTTCAGGACACACAGGCATGTGTATATACCGGGCATAGATACACCTACACACACCTTTCCCTCTGAGCACCCTGCCAGTGGTGGACCAGAGCCCATGTGGGGGCACAGATAGGTGGAAATGAACTCGTGAGCCTCCAGACTCAACCCTGTCTCTATTGCTTCCCACTCCATCCTGGGCCTGTGGCTGGGGCCTCCTACTTGTTTGTGGAGTGAAGCACTTTAGTCCTTTGTCCTGAATAAACACAGTCCGAACCTATTCTTTTTTTTTTTTAATCGTTTTATTAGGGGCTCATACAACTCTTAACAAAATCCATACATACATCAATTGTGTAAAGCGCATTGGTACATTCATTGCCCTCATCATTCTCAAAACATTTCCTCTCCACTTAAGCCCCCAGCATTAGGTCCTCATTTTTCCCCTCCCTCCCCGCTCCCCCCTCCCTCATGAGCCCTTGATAGTTTATAAATTATTATTTTGTCATATCTTGCCCTGTCCGATGTCTCCCTTCACCCACTTTTCTGTTGTCCATCCCCCAGGGAGGGGGTCACATATAATTCCTTATAATAGGTTCCCTTTTTCCAACCCACTCTCCCTCTATCCTCCCAGTATCACCACTCACACCACTGGTCCTGTAGGGATCATCCGCCCTGGATTCCCTGTGTTTCCAGTTCCTGTCTGTACCAGTGTACATCCTCTGGTCTAGCCAGACTTGCAAGGTAGAATTTGGATCATGATAGTGGGGGCGGGGAGGAAGCATTTAGGAACTAGAGGAAAGTTGTGTTTTTCATCGTTGCTACATCGCATCCTGACTGGCTCGTCTCCTCCCCAAGACCTCTCTGCAAGGGGATCTCCAGTGGTCTAGAAATGGGCTTTGGGTCTCCACTCCACACTCCCCCCATAATTCACTATGGTAAGATTTTTTGTTCTGATGATGCCTTATACCTGATCCCTTCAACACCTCGTGATCGCATAGGCTGGTGTGCTTCTTCCATGTGGGCTTTGTTGCTGCTGAGCTTGATGGCCGCTTGATTATCTTCAAGCACCTATTCTAGGACTGTTTCTCTGCTGCTGAAGCTGGAAGTGTGGAGGAGGGGACTGACAGAGAAAATCCTGCCAGGGGAGGGGCAGGAGGCTGTAGGGAGCATCGCAGATAGGATGAGCGACTTCACTAAGGATGGTACTCCCAGCAATCCACGGTGCCACCCTTGACCCTCATGGAATTCCTCCCATACCAGGTCATGCGGAATTCATAGCTTATTAACAATGTTAATAATAAAATCATGTTATAAATGTAGTTGTGAATTGCAACGCTATTCCTTGTCCCATACCCATTCTGAATTGGGCCTAAATTTCTGGCAGCTCTTTGACAATGTCCTGCTACAATCATTGCTGGGGGTATTCAGCAAAATTTTACTAGCATGTGATATTAATGATATTCTATAATTTCTGCACTCTGTTGGGTCACCTTTTCTTTGGCATGGGTTCAAATATGGATCTCTTCCTGTCAACTGGCCAGGTAGCTTCCTGCCAAATTTTTTGGCTATGGGATGGGATCAAGAACATCATACTTGAAGGGAACAACAAGAGATCTAAAATTAATGGCCAGGAGGGCAAAGAATGCCTGGAGGGGTTTGATCAAGTGCAACATAGCCAAGAGGAAGTACAGAGAGCCGCATGAAGGTCAAACCTGATAGTGGGGAAGAGGAAAGTAAAAGGAAATAGAGGAAATAATTAGGAGGCAAAAGACATTTATAGAGATATAAACATAGGCACGCTCAGCACATTTTAAACTTAAAGAGCTCAAGGAAAGAAAGTCAAGCTCCGAGTTACAATATTGAAAGATTCTATTGGCAAAACATTGACTTGACACAGAAACCATCCAACGACGATGGAAGTGGAAGAGAAAGATTTAGGATAAAGGGGGTTGTCTCCACCAAATGCCCATGCTAACCAAAAATCAGCTGGGCACGCCACCGTAGAGGGGTTGGAAAGAAATTGGGAACACATTAGACAATCCAAAGCTGGGCATGCTCAGACCAAGGTCCCCTAGGCACAGGTGAAGGTCAAGCTGGGCACACACTAGACACCAGCAACATTACCATCACACGTGCGCCAGAAGTCAGTTGCTAAGATCAGCCAATACCCTCAAGCATCCTCACCCGCTAAGGGGGATAGACAGCAGACTTAGGCAGGCTGCTCTCTCTCTCAGGGGCTCTCTTGCAGGCTGGAGGCCAGGATTTCTCGTGTGTGTGTGTGTGTGTGTGTGTGTGTGTGTGTGTGTGTTGTGGCCCTCCTCTCCTGATTCTGTAGCCTCCTCGTAAAGGGCATGTCTCCTGGTGGCTTTTTGTGCTCCTCCAAAGCCGCCATTGTTGGTCTCCAACTTTCCCATGCCCCCCACCCCCACTTCCATGCTGCCTTGTACACTTGCCAGAGAGAGCATGTACTGTCTGAGACTGTAGTACCCAAAACTTTCCTTTCCCCCATAAAACCTACTTGGACTTACAAAAGTGCTCCTGCCGCGTGAATTCTTCCAGCCCTGAGAAGAAGCCAAACCATCCCAGGAACCTAACCCAAGGAATACAGTGTCCTTGTAGCCAAAAGAACTCGTCGGCCATTCAACCATTTCAAGAAGCAGCGTGTGATCAAGAACCAATGTTCCTGAAGGAAGAAGTTCAACCTGCCCTGAAGGCAGTAGCCCAAAACAAGGCCCCGGAATTGAGGGAACACCCATCGAAATGTGTCGCCCAGCTGAGGAAGCCCTGGAAGCACTCACTCGTGAGACAGCAGAGCACACTGTGAGGCGCCCTGTGCGGGAGGCGGCTGCTGCCGCTGAACTCTGACTCATAAAATGTACTCTGTCTTCAAGCCCTGTTTTGACTACTCCCCATGTTTTTATTCTTTTTTTCTCACATAGAGTCTCAGCCGCCAGGGGATACATTGTATAACGCCCCATTTTACAGCCTTCGGGGAAGGGAACTTAAATCGCTTGCTCAAAAATATTCAACTAACTAGGCAGCCGCAGAGCTGGGATGCCGTCCCGGCAGCCAGTGCTCAGCCAGCAGCTACTTTGGTGGATGAGGAAGTGAGGGGGGGGAGACAGGGGGCCCAGTGGTGAGGTGTGGATGGGAGTTTGTCACACGGAGTAATCCAGGGACTTCCCAGATGGAGGAATTAGTGTTTGCCCGATTAGATTAGAAGGTGTTAATAAGAGTTCATCTCCTGGGTGGGGGAGGGGAGGAGAATCGAGAACTTTCTTCCAGACCCAGGATGACCTGACTCCCACCTGTAAACATATATCCAATTCTGACATATAGAGACCCCGTAGGGCTGGGTACACCTTTATTGGAACAGATAGGCTCTTGTCTCTCTCTGGGCGGACTGTGGCTTATCCCTCAGACCTTGCAGCCAACAGCCCAACGCTGTCGTAACCCACTCGGCCCCACAGTGGAGTTGATTCCAACCCAGGGTGACCCTATATAGGGTCCCCGATCACAGGTGACATTTAAACACACACACAATAGAAACAAAGTGGTATGTAAAGCAGCAAGGCGCTGGGCTGTGGGGTTTTCCCCTTAAAGGGACAGAATGTACATTTCTGAACTTGTGACAACCCCTGTCCACGGCATATGCAAATGAATGGGCAAGGTTGCGCTCCAACGAAACTTGACCTGCAGGCCTGACAATTCACATTTCATATCGCTTACGCCTGTCACAAGCATTCTTCTCCCGGATTTTTCGATAGCTTCCAGTGTGGAAAGCATTTCTGGCTCAGAGGCCAGGCACAGACAAACACGAGGCTGGGTTTGGTCTGCACGTCTTGTCCTAAAGCAGCGGTTCTCCACCTTCCTCAGGCCGCGACCCTTTCATACAGTTCCTCATGTGGTGGGGACTCCCAACCAAAACATTTTCATTGCCACTTCATCACTGTCATGTTGCTACTGTTATGACTTGTCATGTCAATATCTGGTAGGCAGGATGCATTTTCATTGTTATAAACTGAGCATAATTAAAGCATAGTGATCGGCTTCGTTCCCTTTGCCTTGGAGAGAGTCTGGAAACAAGGTGGGTCCCCAGCAGCTCTCCTGGAGCTCCCTGAGAAAATTCGGCCCGGGTTCTCATTCTTGCCACGTGTGCTCAAACCGGCACGGTCTGATCCGGAAATACAGCCTCACTATGTGCCGTCAGTGTTTCCGTCAGTACGCCAAGGATACCGGCTTCATCCAGCTGGACTAAGTGATCTTTGGATGGACAATCCAAGACCGCTACCCAACAGAAGAAACAATGCCAACTATTTGTACATAAAATAAAAAAATTCAAGCTTGAAAAAAAAGGCATAGTGATTAATCACAAAAACAATATGTAATTATATATTGTGAAATACAGTGAACCCTCGTTTATCGCGGTTAATCAGTTCTAGATCCTACCGTGATAAATGAAATTCCGTGAAGTAGGATTCCTTATTTGTAAATCAAATATTTTCGTAGTTAGAGCATAGAGGACATGAAAAAACACCCTTTGGTCACCATTACACTCGTATTACCCAATTTATTAAACTAAAAAGGGAAAATGCAGTAAAACATTTTGGACGTTACAATTATCATTTATTATTTTTTATATTATTTATGGCATCTAGTTTACAGTATTACATATTTCACATACAGTATTATTATACATAGTTCTTACCAATACTGTAATCAATAGCCTATGAAATGACTTAAGGGATGTACTCTACAGGTGGGTCGCCTTCTTTTTCCTCTGAAGGAGCGGGTGTAGGCAGTGGGTGCTGTTACGCAAAAACCGCGATAGAGTGAAGCCACGGAAGTCGAAGCGCGAAGTGGCGAGGGTTCACTGTATTGATTTCTAATGACAAATAAATGAAATGTTGTCTTGAAGCATGGTGTAGCATGGGTAGCAGTCTTCACGCCGGGTACTGGTAGGTGGGCATATCTGCATGTGGGTGACCAGCAGCTGGAGACGGATAGAGGAGCAGTGTCTCGGTTCCTAAGACCATTGGAATTATGTGTTTTCTGATGGTCTTAGGAGACCCCTGTGAAAGTGTTGTTCAACCCCCAAAGGGGTCGAGACCCACAGGTTGAGAACGGCTGCTCTAAAGATTCAGAGGGATGAGAGAGCATTGAGCTACCTGGAGCTCCCCAGAGCCCCAGGACCAAGGAGCAGGGCTCGGCCACTCCCGGAGAGGCGCCTGCTATCAAGTCAAAGCCCCTCCAGCTGGCGGCTGTCAGAGTAGACCTGTGCTCCAGAGGGCTTTCAATGGCCGAATTTTCAGAAGCAGCTACCAAGCCTTTCTTCTGAGGTACCCTGGGGGGACTCAAACCTGCAGCCTTTCCAATAGCAGCCTTTCACAGTAACTGTTTGGACCACCCAGGGACTCCCTGAGCACTGAAAGAAAGGATATGTATATATATAGTCTGGTGAGTACAGACAAGTCTAGTACAGAGCCCACAGCAGGGATGACTGCTGATTTATTAATTCAATTGTACAATGTACTTATTGTGTACTATTTTCATCCAAGGGTACAATTGTTCAATTGAGTGAATACACTTGTTCTGAGACTTTTAAGCAGGGACACGTATGTTTTGAAGAAGGGTTGGCATCTGTGTGAGCATCTTCCATTTTCCCTCCAGATCCATTGTCATCCCTCCCCTCCAACCCTGGCCTCAGACAACAGGGGCCAAGTATGGGCAGCAACAACAGGCTCTGTGCCTTCGGTCTCTGGTTGGGGTTGGACAATGGGGAACCCAGCAGGAGATCGGAGGGGAGGCAGCAGGAGATCCGAGGGGAGGCAGGGGGGTGGGAGCTGAGTATTTATTCCATGACCAGCTCCCTAGAGCACGTGTATGTGGTGGCAGAGCCGCAGTACAGTCCCAGGGTTCTATACTAGCTCCAGGGCTTCTCATTGCCCACGCCTTTATCAACTGTCTTGACATTATCCTCATTTGGATGCGCCGTGTGTTTCCTGCTGAGACCTGCGTGCACGATAAGAAGATGTGAGACTGGGGAAAGAAACCAGTAGTTATCATCTTTCTGGGCAAAGAAGGGAGTGAGCCAGTACGGTGGGTAGTGCAGTGGTGGGAGGAAGAGACGGAACTGAGATCAGTTTAGAAGCCAAATGGCTTCAATAAGGGGGCTGGCGAAGAAGGACACTCCGAAATGAGTTGCCTTTGAGCTGGCAAAACTGGAAAGAGGAGACGGGGAAGAGGCAAGATGTTTGGAGTGGAGATAAGTTGCTTGAGGTGCATGTAGGACATCCAAATGCACAGGTGCGTCGACCATCTGGCAGCTTTGAGCCATGACTCATCCATCCACTGCTTGTGGAGGACCCGCCATTGCTAAAGACTGCTTGGGAACCTTGGAGAAAGAGCGAGTGAATGCCGGTCTACTTTTCCTTCCACGTCAGAGGCAGGCTCTCAGAATCATGGCATCAGCGGGGACTGGGGGGAGTGATGGAGCATGCTGGGGAAATAGTACCCAGAACAGCCAGTCCATGATGTTCACAAGGGATGATCTCCTACTTAGCCAGGGATTCTCAATTTGACATCCTTCCCCGGAGGGGATATTTGGGCTAGTCTCCTGGATTGGATCATCCGCCTCGCTGAGGTTTGTAGGAGGTAGATGGTCAGACCCAGGTATTCTCTCAGGCCAGGTCCTAACGCTCCGACAAGACCACGTGCAGGAGGGCGTGTCTAACTCCTTTGGGCTTCTCCAGAGCTTCATAGTCCTTCCTAAGTGGTCTGCCTTCTGATTACATTGCCCTTCCAAAAACAAACACTTGTTGAATATTTCCCAACTGAGTCACTGTTAAGTTTGCTTTTTCCCAAGAAGTCACACAAACTCTGCCTTGCTCTCTCCACCATTCAGACCAGAATCAGGCTTCAGCCTTGCTTCCTATGGTTTTTCTGCTCTTTCTCATCCACAGAACACAATAGAGTTAGTTGGTGCCCCAAGAGGTTGGGCTAGGCTTGGCCTTCAAAGCTTATCTTATTCTTATCGCCTCTGAGGGGGTGGGAGTTAGCACAATGCGTCTCCCCATGTGCTCACAGTAGTCACCACAGTCCCATTTCCGGAAAGGCTGGCCCACCTTTGAGTCCCCTGCGCCCCTGTCCAGTCCTCCCCAGTTTGCGGTTCACTGATGTCTGGTCAAGACCTGAGTCAGCCACATTGCCTCCCAAGCAGCCCAATGGGCAGGCATCTATTGCCTTGGGCAACACAGACCAACTGCTTGGTCAATTCAGGTGGCCATGCAGTTAACAGGCACAGCTGGGCAGAAGTCAGCCTGTGTTGGATGAAACAACGCCAGGGCCTGAGGAACAGAACCTTGACCTGCACACCAGTTGACAGAGGATTCTGCAAAGGATTCAGGTTTTCCAGAGAAACTACCAGGGAATTGGGCATTAAATGATTAAAGTATCATGCTGTTGATGCAGTTATGGGCCAAGTGCATAGTGGGATTTAATAATGTTACACTCGAATTAGGATGTCCACTCATTTTCAGCTCAAACATCCTGCAGAAAGGGCATCTTCCCTGAACCACTTCCCCGTGTAATACTTCTGTGGGAGGAGTGCCCCCAGACTGCATTCACTGGGTGCATGGTAGAGCTAGGGGCCCCAGAGCCCAGGGGAGGACAAAGCTGCCAAGGACAGCAGTAGGTAGTGACTTGACCTAACAACAAGGTGGTGTTGAGCAACCATGCAGAGAGAACCCACCACCATGATTAAGATTTCACACCGGCTCCTTAGTGTGGATGCGGGTAGAAATGGAAACGAGTCCTTGGCCCATCCTTTTCGGTTCAGTCCATAAAAGGATGAACAGTAGAAATGCTTGATCTCTGTTAGACTGTGGACTTACTGGGCCAGTCATAGTGAATGCTAAAGTTTCCAACAAGCCCTGCATAGGAGCCCTGGGCAGTTTCACACATGGTGCCCACAGGGAGAGTCACCCATATAAGCTGTCATCAGGGTGACTCTGTCCGCCTCGTGGGGACCCGATGTGTTCCTGTCCGAGCAGAACTATGTTTCCAATGACTTTTCAATGGCTTTTTTGTTTTGTTTTGTTCCGTTTTCTGACGTGGATTGCCAGGTCTTTCCTGCACAGTGTCTCTGGCTGGATTCAAACATGCAACCTTTTGATTGGCAGCTGAGCCTGGGAACCGTTTGCATCGTACAGGGTCTCGTGGAGAGAGTTCTGAGCTCAAGCATCTCCTTTTCCAGATCTATTTTCCTCCGAGCCCCGAGTCAGTGGGTGGAACGAGGCAAACGTCTCTTGAAGGAAACATCCTATCCTGTGGGATCAGAAGCACATCTGTGGAAAACAGCACCACCCCCGGGTGGAGTCGGAGTCCTGGTGACACAGGTGGGCTGTCCTGTGGCCTCGCTGTGAGTCCAGGTGGCCATGATGGCAGGAAGTTTGATTTGGAGGTCAGAGTCTGTATGAATTAGAGTTTGCTTTTTTTTTTAATGGCAATTAGTCTTAACGCATAGTGACCCTATGCGACGGGGTAGAACTGCCCCTGTGGGTTTCCGAGACTGTAACTCTTTGGAGTTTCTTGGTTGAGTTTGAACTTGCTGGATGTTCTCTTACTGGTGGAAACTGCCAGGGAACACAGAGACGGCTCAAGCAGGGCCCGGGCATGTGCCTTTCACTCACTGCCAGTCATAGCAACCCGATGGCAGAGTAGAACTGGCCCTTTGGGATTCAAGGCTGTACATCTTTCCGGGAGCACAGAGCCTCATCTTTGCGCCATGCCCTAGACAGGGCTCCGGGTGGGTTGGGATTCCCATGTTGACTTCCCGAGCAACACCATCATCACATGGCTTCGGTGACTCCCGTGCCGAAGAGCCCCCCTTCCCCGAGCTGGGGAGCTTGATCAGTACCTGGGGTGGCCACACCTGTAAGCATCTCTGCTTAAAGAAGTTCTGCCTGTTCACAGAACACTTCCTGGGGTCAGGACTCCCGTGCCTGTGCGAACAGGGAGTGCCCCGGGGACCATCCAACATGCCCCTTCACAAACCTCCCATGTAACCCTTTGCCAGGAAGTCAGCGGTCTGCCCAGCAGGGTGGTGGAAGGACCACCCCAGACTGAACGAAGCGCTGTGGAATCAATCCTGATTCACCGTGGCCCTATTGGACGGAGGGGAACTGCCCCTCTTTACAGGATGCGATAGCCTCGTCTTCTTCCCTCAGAGCAAGTGGTGTCTTCAAACGGATGGCCTGG